TGCTACTACTACTACTTCACTACTACTACTACTACTACTACTACTACTACTACTACTACTACTACTACTACTACTTCTACTACTTCTTCTACTACTACTACTACTACTACTACTTCTACTACTAATGCTACTACTAATACTACTTCTACTACCACTACTGCTACTTCTGTAATATCATGAGAAAAAGGATTTCGCCCAAAATAAGAATTCTTGCCACGCTCTGAAACAAGTGTCACGCCTCTACACCCTAACTACCTACTTATAACAGTCTAGTATTAGAAATATTACCGTATAGCCTGATTGATGAAGAGTGATTGCAAGTGTCAACCGAATTACCTATAGAGATGTATTTTCAGTACACACATGCAGTTAATAAATAGACGATTATCTATGATCAAAACTGTTAATACAAATATGTCTAATCATATCGAAAGGGGTTAATAGATGAAGATGTGGTCGATATTATGCGGTGTGTGTGAACACCTGCTATTGTTACTAAATGGAAACATTTACTTAATAACTACATGTAAATATAGATATGTACTTAAAGTTATAAAATTAGTATTACATATAAAGATCTAAAATCTGTTATAGAGAAACGTTTGTGTCCCTTTTTGACAGTGCCAACAAGTATTCTATATTTTACTACTTAACACATCAAGGTGAGATGATATCAAACAAGGCAGACAATTTATTTATTAATATGAATTGAAAATATATGTTGCTAAATATGTGACAATCTAAAAATGATTACAAAATTGTGACATATTTACTTAAATGAGTTAGTTGCTATAACAGCTGGCTCGAACCTGTAAATAAAATTGACGAGGCCCTTGCCACAGTCATAGCTATCTCTGCCTAAAGCAGAGTCGACTGTTCGATTTGGGCGTTATCATGAGCATGTATTCAAGGAACACTATCAAATAGTGATGATACCAGGTTTTCGCGAAAACGTGACCGTGGCTCGTCCCATCGCCGGTACCACAAACTGACAAAGGCCTGTCAATTTGTTTTTACCTGAAAAAGCATGAGAACATTTGGCAAGAGTCAAAACTGCATCTTATACCATTTGGGGATTCGCCAACGTTTTTCCATTACTACCAGACAGACCTTCTCCTTTTTCCCCGGACATTGAAAATTCAGTTCTCATTGTCCAGGACAGAGATATGGGCCAAAATATATAGCGATCGCTGATAATCAGTTATGAAAACATATTTTTATCGTAAGGGTAAATATGTTTTGGCTTTTCTTATTTTCGAGAAGAAATTATTTTTTTTATCCCAGATCTGGAATTTTCTCTTACTTTTTACTCGTTGCCATGCTGTGTCCATACCTGTAGGGAAAACCTTGGAATGTAAAACATGTGATATGAACTGACCAAGCATTACAGTCTCTTGGAGAAGATTACCCAAACACCCAAATTATTCATATTTTGTGATAGATCCATGACGGCTATTCGTCGTCTTTCCACGGCGCACGTGACGTTGATTAACTATTCTTTGAGTATACGGTTTGAACATGTTTTTATTTCTGACAAAATCTGGTCTGTGTTAATACCTTTCCAGAAAATAAGTTCAACTTTTTATACATGGTAGTGATGAACACAAAGTAAGTGATTTATGCAGCTTTTGTTCTACAGAAAAGGAATCTATATTCCATTAGTTCTGGGAATGTTATTATATACGCTCCGTTTGGAATGATTTGAAAAAATGGCTGTTATCGGAAGCTCAGAGCAATATAGATATCAAATATCAAAAAGAAATGGTTTTCTAAGCTATACCGAAAGAAATAATAACCCACTCAACATTATCACATTAATAACGAAACATTATATACTAGGCACATAAAGAAACTGTGCATACAAAAATTTAAAATGTAAATTGATCAAACCTGTGTAGACACATAAGGATTCAAACTCAGAGATTAGTGACATGTATCCAACATGCATGCACGTGCCACGTTCCGTGACGTCAGTGGGTTCGTCCTTGAGACGTGCAATACGTTGTTGCACGTGCATTCCGGGAAAGAGAAACAGAGCAAATGAATGCCACACAATACTGTCACTTTGGAAAGCTCAACCCCTGCCCTTGCGATCATTCAAAAATTATACGGCTATTGAAACGCATAGCATGCCAAGGCTTACGTCTGCACAACGTCATGAGGCCATTGGGATGGTCCGTGGGGGAATCTCTCAACGACAAGTGGCTGCACATGTCCACTGCCAGCGGAACACCATTTCTGCACTGTTGAGACGCTACCAGAACACACATGACGTCATCGATCAACGCCAAGACAGGACAGATGGATAAGGGTGACCCATCTTCGCCACAGGTTTCAGACTGCAGTGATGACTGCCCGAACCATCCGATGACTTCGCCGTATCCACCCCAACACAGTTCGACAACGTTTACGTCATCACGGGATCAGACCACGACGTCCCGCCATACGGCCTATCCTGACACAACGTCATCGACAAGCTCGCCGAATGTGGTGCCGAAATCATGTCCGCAGACCCTTGTTTTGGTGGAGAAATGGTGTTTTTACAGATGAGTGCAAGTTTAACATTTCCCATAGTGATGGACGTCAACGTGCCTATAGACGCGTGGGAGAACGTTATGCATAGGCCTGTGTCTTGGAGAGGAATCACTTTGGTGGTGGTTCCGTGATGATTTGGGGTGGAATAACAGCACGCCAGAGAACTCCTTTGGTGATTGTTCAGGGCAACTTAACTGGTGTGGGCTACAGGGATCAGATTCTTCGACCTGTGGCAATTCCGCCCTTATACGGCAAGGGTTGCTATGGATTTCTTGCAACACCACAACGTTGACTTACTGCCTTCGCCTGCAAATTCACCGGATCTTTCCCCGATAGAGCATGTTTGGGACGAAATGGATCGACGTCTACGCCGTCTTCTTCATCCGCCAGATATGGTCCTTGACCTTGCAACAGAACTTGAGAGAATCTGGCGTGACATCCCACAATGCTTCCTTGCACGTTTGATAGGCTCTTTGCGTCGTCGATGCACTGCTGTTCTCAATGCCGATGGTGGACATACCCGTTATTGAGCTTGTGACATGGTCGTTTGACCCCTGTCCCGCTTGTGGACTCGTGACGTCATTGTGATTGACTTTTCAATTGAAATTCTCCCGATTTGTTATGGTCTCATGATCCCTCCATTAAAGTTTATATGTACCTTTGACATTGTTATCGTACTTATCAACTGGGATAATATTTTGACAATGCACAGTTTCTTTATGTGGCTTATATTCACCAGAGAATCACAAGAGAAATGACTTCAAAGAAATACAAAGGGAGCTAACTGACAATTACGCGTTAACTAGATATTCAGCTTCCATAAATTCAAATATCGTTATGTTTTATATGTAATGGTCAACTTGCCATTTACTTTTTTTTGTTAGTTATCATGAATTGTAATGTGTATGTGCTGCTGTAAAAATGCAACAAAAATAATACAATATACAAATAACAATAAAGTACAGCCTGCACAGATAAAATATAGGAAGCCATTATTTGGAGGCTTAGGAGTCTGGAATGAAATAAATCTGTTATCCGTTATATGTATATACATCTTGTATATAAAGTTTATATGTATTTGTAAACATATTTATGTAAGGAAATCCACAAAATAATAACACAAACCGTATTTCCCTTCTACGAGTTTCAACTTTATCTCCAGGGAGTACCTGAAGATAAAGGTGAAACGCTTAGGAGGGAAATTCGTGTTGTGTTATTATTTTGTGCATTTCCTTACATAAATATGTTTACAAATACAAATAAACTTTTAAAATGCTCAAAACGTTTGCTTTTGACAATAAACATATTGAAGGATGTCCATATTTGTAGAACTACTGACTGAATTATTGCCATGAAACATTGTTTATAGGTTATAATCATGTATGCAAAAATACATAGATGTTAACAGGCAAAGAAACAAAATGAGTTGATACCCGGAAGTTCAGTCTGATACTTCTGAACGTCTAAGCTTATGAACGTTAACGGAGCCGTTACGTAAATCCAGCAATTTATATCTCTGTTCAAAGAAAGATGCAAAGCCATTGATCAACAAACAGAGATGGAACAGATTGGAATTATATTCTTGCATCAAACTATGTTTTAAATATGAAGAATACTTATCCCTTGTTCACTAAAGGTACCCTCATATCGTATAGCACTATGTAAATTTCGCTGTTCTAACCACAGTTTACTACTTGAAGAAGGACAAACGTTTAACATTCCTCGTCACGAAAGATTATGTCCATTATGCATCATTCCTTGTGTAGAATCCGAATACCACTTTTGTATGGTTTGTCCATTTCATGATATTCTGAGAAAATCCATTTTACCAGTATATTACACTACCTATCCATCATTTGATAAGTTTATTCACTTATTATCCTCTACAAAAGTCGATGCCATTAACAGTCTTGCACGATTTGTATTTCTTGGCATAAAAAGCGTGTTCGATTTCTAAAAACCTAACATGTAACAGCCTTGGGGCTCTACGTCCATATAAGCCTCTATCGAACTTGTGGGACCGGTGGCCCTCTTACAGAAATAAACATCTGTCTCTCGTTAACGGAGCTGCACCGATCCTGATATGCAGTGGACATACTGGCGGCATGACATATGTATCTGACATTCTTTAACCAAGGGGCGGTGGGGTAGCCTAGTGGTTAAAGCGTTGGCTCGTCACGCCGAAGACCCGGGTTCGAATCCCCACATGGGTACAATGTGTGAAGCCGATTTCTGGTGTACCCCGCAGTGATGTTGCTGGAATATTGCTAAAAGCGGCGTAAAACCAAACTCAGTCAGTCAGTCAGTCTTTAACCAAAACCCTTCTGCATCAGTCTCACACTACTGCACACGCGTTACCTATGAAGCAAGCTTACTACAAATATTAATAAAGTAAGATAGGCCACCTGGTATTCAATGGCATGGATTTATGATTGGAATAATTACAATATTTCTATAGAGCATGCCTGGCAAGCAATGTCATAACACCTCGATGACTTGAAGCTGGATGTTGAAGCTGACACGCTGCTGACTCAGAATAAGGTATTGTTTGTGCATCAATATCGATTTGTTCATTTTGAAAAACAAAGCTTTATCTATATATTGATCTTCCTTTGTTTTCGAACAGTGGTATGGTGGTATCTGTTTTTCATTCCATTTCATTTGTCAGTGTACATGACAAGCAAATACTTTCCATATTCTGAAGAATTCGCTGCTACAAGCATTTTAGACTTCGACATCATATTGACCAAACAACTCTTATGCAAACGTCGTAATACGCTCTTTGAAATCTTCTTAGAAAGAAACATGTTCAGTTGGAATTGAAGAATTCTAAAGTGTACACACCAAACGTTGGAGCTGTTGGAATATTGAGGTAGATCACTGTTGGGAAGTCGAAGTAATCCTTCTTGCCAAACACTCTTGGGAGTTGCTGTTTCTTCCGAACATTTAATTTATACATATATCTAATATGAAACAGACGAGGCGATGTGGACTCTATTTTACTTAATCCTGAAGGGAATATCAGTTGAAGAAAACTGGTTTTGGGTCGTCTTTGAAAGATATCAAATCAATATATCTGAAGATTAAGTTGGATAGACTGCATTGTTTTGACTCAATAACAGCAACAGGTTGCTCATCACATGCCCCAAGAAACAGATCCAGAGAAAGAGAACCACAGCTGGTGACACTTGGATAACTACTTTTGGACAAAATGTATTATCCTAGATTTTATATTCATGTTCTGAAACGTACGTCCAGTATTACACACATTGTTCCTCAGTATTCTTCAGAGGACAGTTGTGGTCAGTTTAGTGTCATATCCCTAATTTTAAATCAATGTTATGGAAAGGCTGTCCGGTATTTTCACTTATTGTTTCCTCAGATAATTTCAGATGGCAGTTGTGTTCATTCTTAACTAATTGTCTTGAACCTGAATTATGGACCCATTATTCTCCCTTTGTTGAAGTTTGTCCCCCCATGGCAGAAGATACCTCTCGTCGGTCCAAGCTTATCGAAACATTCTGGCTGTTCTGGGCCTTCAACCATAGGGTAAGTACATTTTCTTAAACATTTCTGGAGTGAGTGAGATGCATTTAACGCAGATTTTAGAAATAGCCATTTTAGTAATAGCCTTTTTAGTAATAGCCATTTTAGTAATAGCCATTTTAGTAATAGCCTTTTTAGTAATAGCCATTTTAGTAATAGCCATTTTAGTAATAGCCATTTTAGTAATAGCCATTTTAGTAATAGCCATTTTAGTAATAGCCATTTTAGTAATAGCTATTTTAGTAATAGCCTTTTTAGTAATAGCCATTTTGGTAATAGCCTTTTTAGTAATAGCCATTTTAGTAATAGCCTTTTTAGTAATAGCCATTTTAGTAATAGCCATTTTAGTAATAGCCATTTTAGTAATAGCTATTTTAGTAATAGCCATTTTAGTAATAGCCATTTTAGTAATAGCCTTTTTAGTAATAGCCATTTTAGTAATAACCATTTTAGTAATAGCCATTTTAGTAATAGCCATTTTAGTAATAGCCATTTTAGTAATAGCCATTTTAGTAATAGCTATTTTAGTAATAGCCATTTTAGTAATAGCCATTTCAGTAGGATTATGTATGGACACTAGACATTTCTTAAGTTACTGCCACCAAATACATAGGCGACAAAATCCTTTCAACATACACGAATGGTACAAGCACAAAATAGGGAATCGCACCAGGACTTGTTTCACTGATGCGTCATTTTTTAAAATGTCCTGAATATGTCTACCGTAAAACGTTTTGAAAGGTTAACTGTGGCCTTGAATGTTTTGACCTTGATCCTACAACTTCTGAGCAAGAGTCATAAGAAATGTAAACACCAGGTACTCACTGAATTACAGATAAAAGTCCATTCCATGCCCAGGTCCCGTGCCAAGATACTGCCTAGAAGTTCAGTTCAATCATAGGTCCCGTGCCTAGATACTGCCAAGAAGTTCATTGCATGTCCAGGTCCCGTGCCCAGATACTGCCTAGAAGTTCATTCCAATCATAGGTCCAGTGGCTAGATACTGCCTAGAAGTTCATTCCAATCATAGGTCCAGTGGCTAGATACTGCCAAGAGGTTCATTCCAATCATAGGTTCAGTGGCTACATACTGCCTAGAAGTTCATTCCAATCATAGGTCCCGTGCCTAGATACTGCCAAGAGGTTCATTGCATGTCCAGATCCCGTGCCCAGGTACTGCCAAGAGGTTCATTCCAATCATAGGTCCCGTGCCTAGATAGTGACAAGAAGTTCATTCCAATCATCGGTCCCGTGCCAAGATACTGCCAAGAAGTTCATTCCAATCATAGGTCCCGTGCCTAGATACTGCCAAGAGGTTCATTGCATGTCCAGGTCCCGTGCCCAGGTACTGCCAAGAAGTTCATTCCAATCATAGGTCCCGTGCCTAGATAGTGACAAGAAGTTCATTCCAATCATCGGTCTAGTGGCTAGATACTGCCAAGAAGTTCATTCCAATCATAGGTCCAGTGGATAGATAATGCCACGAAGTTCATTCCAATCATAGGTCCGTGCCTAGATAGTGCCAAGAAGTTCATTCCAATCATAGGTCCCGTGCCAAGATACTTTCAAGAAGTTCATTCCAATCATAGGTCCCGTGCCTAGATACTGTCAAGAAGTTCATTCCAATCATAGGTCCCGTGCCTAGATACTGCCAAGAGGTTCATTGCATGTCCAGGTCCCGTGCCCAGGTACTGCCAAGAAGTTCATTCCAATCATAGGTCTAGTGGCTAGATACTGCAAAGACGTTCATTCCAATCATAGGTCCCGTGCCTAGATACTGTCAAGAAGTTCATTTCAATCATAGGTCCCGAGCCTAGATACTACCAAGAGGTTCATTGCATGTCCAGGTCCCGTGCCCAGGTACTGCCAAGAAGTTCATTCCAATCATAGGTCCCGTGCCAAGATACTGCCAAGAAGTTCATTCCAATCATCGGTCCCGAGCCTAGATAGTGCCAAGAGGTTCATTGCATGTCCAGGTCCCTCGTCCAGGTACTGCCAAGAAGTTCATTCCAATCATAGGTCCCGTGCCTAGATAGTGCCAAGAAGTTCATTCCAATCATAGGTCCCGTGCCTAGATACTGCCAAGAGGTTCATTGCATGTCCAGGTCCCGTGCCCAGGTACTGCCAAGAGGTTCATTCCAATCATAGGTCCCGTGCCTAGATAGTGACAAGAGGTTAATTCCAATCATCGGTCTAGTGGCTAGATACTGCCAAGAAGTTCATTACAATCATAGGTCCCGTGCCAAGATACTGCCAAGAGGTTAATTCCAATCATAGGTCCCGTGCCTAGATACTGCCAAGAGGTTCATTCCAATCATAGGTCCAGTGGCTAGATAATGCCAAGAGGTTCATTCCAATCATAGGTCCCGTGCCTAGATACTGCCAAGAGGTTCATTGCATGTCCAGGTCCCGTGCCCAGGTACTGCCAAGAGGTTCATTCCAATCATAGGTCCCGTGCCTAGATAGTGACAAGAAGTTCATTCCAATCATCGGTCCCGTGCCAAGATACTGCCAAGAAGTTCATTCCAATCATAGGTCCAGTGGCTACATACTGCCTAGAAGTTCATTCCAATCATAGGTCCCGTGCCTAGATACTGCCAAGAGGTTCATTGCATGTCCAGGTCCCGTGCCCAGGTACTGCCAAGAAGTTCATTCCAATCATAGGTCCCGTGCCTAGATAGTGACAAGAAGTTCATTCCAATCATCGGTCTAGTGGCTAGATACTGCCAAGAAGTTCATTCCAATCATAGGTCCAGTGGATAGATAATGCCACGAAGTTCATTCCAATCATAGGTCCGTGCCTAGATAGTGCCAAGAAGTTCATTCCAATCATAGGTCCCGTGCCAAGATACTTTCAAGAAGTTCATTCCAATCATAGGTCCCGTGCCTAGATAGTGTCAAGAAGTTCATTCCAATCATAGGTCCCGTGCCTAGATACTGCCAAGAGGTTCATTGCATGTCCAGGTCCCGTGCCCAGGTACTGCCAAGAAGTTCATTCCAATCATAGGTCTAGTGGCTAGATACTGCAAAGACGTTCATTCCAATCATAGGTCCCGTGCCTAGATACTGTCAAGAAGTTCATTTCAATCATAGGTCCCGAGCCTAGATACTACCAAGAGGTTCATTGCATGTCCAGGTCCCGTGCCCAGGTACTGCCAAGAAGTTCATTCCAATCATAGGTCCCGTGCCAAGATACTGCCAAGAAGTTCATTCCAATCATCGGTCCCGAGCCTAGATAGTGCCAAGAGGTTCATTGCATGTCCAGGTCCCTCGTCCAGGTACTGCCAAGAAGTTCATTCCAATCATAGGTCCCGTGCCTAGATAGTGCCAAGAAGTTCATTCCAATCATCGGTCCCGTGCCTAGATACTGCCAAGAGGTTCATTGCATGTCCAGGTCCCGTGCCCAGGTACTGCCAAGAGGTTCATTCCAATCATAGGTCCCGTGCCTAGATAGTGACAAGAGGTTCATTCCAATCATCGGTCTAGTGGCTAGATACTGCCAAGAAGTTCATTACAATCATAGGTCCCGTGCCAAGATACTGCCAAGAGGTTAATTCCAATCATAGGTCCCGTGCCTAGATACTGCCAAGAGGTTCATTCCAATCATAGGTCCAGTGGCTAGATAATGCCAAGAGGTTCATTCCAATCATAGGTCCCGTGCCAAGATACTGCCAAGAAGTTCATTCCAATCATAGGTCCAGTGCCTAGATACTGCCAAAAGGTTCATTCCAATCATAGGTCCAGTGGCTAGATACTGCCACGAGGTTCAGTCCAATCATAGGTCCAGTGGCTAGACACTGCCATTTAGCAGACAGATCGCTACTAACAAGCCCCAGATACTGCCTAGAAGTTCATTCCAATCATAGGTCCCGTGCCTAGATACTGCCAAGAGGTTCATTGCATGTCCAGGTCCCGTGCCCAGGTACTGCCAAGAGGTTCATTCCAATCATAGGTCCCGTGCCTAGATAGTGCCAAGAAGTTCATTCCAATCATCGGTCCCGTGCCAAGATACTGCCAAGAAGTTCATTCCAATCATAGGTCAAGTGGCTACATACTGCCTAGAAGTTCATTCCAATCAAAGGTCCCGTGCCTAGATACTGCCAAGAGGTTCATTGCATGTCCAGGTCCCGTGCCCAGGTACTGCCAAGAAGTTCATTCCAATCATAGGTCCCGTGCCTAGATAGTGACAAGAAGTTCATTCCAATCATCGGTCTAGTGGCTAGATACTGCCAAGAAGTTCATTCCAATCATAGGTCCAGTGGCTAGATAATGCCAAGAAGTTCATTCCAATCATAGGTCCGTGCCTAGATAGTGCCAAGAAGTTCATTCCAATCATAGGTCCCGTGCCAAGATACTTTCAAGAGGTTCATTCCAATCATAGGTCCAGTGGCTAGATACTGCCACGAGGTTCAGTCCAATCATAGGTCCAGTGGCTAGATACTGCCATTTAGCAGACAGATCGCTACTAACAAGCCCCAGATACTGCCTAGAAGTTCATTCCAATCATAGGTCCCGTGCCTAGATACTGCCAAGAGGTTCATTGCATGTCCAGGTCCCGTGCCCAGGTACTGCCAAGAGGTTCATTCCAATCATAGGTCCCGTGCCTAGATAGTGCCAAGAAGTTCATTCCAATCATCGGTCCCGTGCCAAGATACTGCCAAGAAGTTCATTCCAATCATAGGTCCAGTGGCTACATACTGCCTAGAAGTTCATTCCAATCAAAGGTCCCGTGCCTAGATACTGCCAAGAGGTTCATTGCATGTCCAGGTCCCGTGCCCAGGTACTGCCAAGAAGTTCATTCCAATCATAGGTCCCGTGCCTAGATAGTGACAAGAAGTTCATTCCAATCCTCGGTCTAGTGGCTAGATACTGCCAAGAAGTTCATTCCAATCATAGGTCCAGTGGATAGATAATGCCACGAAGTTCATTCCAATCATAGGTCCGTGCCTAGATAGTGCCAAGAAGTTCATTCCAATCATAGGTCCCGTGCCAAGATACTTTCAA